TTAAATGCTGATGGCATGGTCCTGAGGGCAGACAGATCGGTCCTCTTAGTTGCCTCCAGCACTTGCTAATGCTCTCCCTTCAAAGTGGCCTTGCCTTGCTAGTCCTGACACATCCTGACTGACCACTGCACCGACACAGACCCAGTGTTCACTTTGTGGCTCACTTGTCTGTCTCTCCCTGGAGCCATGGGCCCTGGAGAGAGGAGGCAGCCTAGAGCAGGTCCTGTACTAGCCACACTGTCAATTCCTGTGTGTAGCCCTTGGCTACTTGGGACATCCTGTTGCCCTCCTTGGCTGAGGACCAAGGCTGGGGAGGGAACACAAGCCCCCACTTCTGGGATATTTGGCACAGGCACCCACAGCAAAGCCAGTGTTCAGATTTCAGTGGTTTCCTCCAGGGCTCTCTCTTATGCACAGCTCCATGAGACAAGTGTCCTGGATGAACCTTCATGGGTCAGAAGCCAGAACAGGCCCAGGACAGACAGACAACCTCTTTAGTGTGGAGAAGCAGCCCTACCCCTAGGAAACTGGGTTCCTGGGGCCTGCTGATGGTGGAGAGTTAGCCAGGAAGGCACTTGTAGGGCAGGGAGGGACTTGTGGGCCAGGGGATCAGCATGAGGCCCAGAAGCCTAGAAAGTCAAGCCCAAACCAGGCTGGCTCCACTGTCTGAGCTAGTGGGTGGAATTCATAGAGGCTACTATGCCCTAGAGGCTAGAGCATCCTCAAGCTGTCTGATATAGTGGACCTTCTGGGAAAGGCTGCATCCCCCACCCGACAAACAGGCATCTGGGCCCTAGAGCAGACCAAGCCGGAGGAGGAGAAGCCGGACTCTGGGAGGGCTGAGTAGCAGGGTGGCTCACCTCAATCTTCAGATCTTCACCTCTACTGAGGTGCCTGGGCCCACCAAATGAAGCAAGGAAGTTCGGGGAACCAGGGAAGGGTCTCTTGTCCGCTCAGCCCGGGAGCCACGAGATCCCAACTGCGAGGACACAAAAGTGAAACTGTGAAGCTGCAGCCCCCATGAGGACTCAGTGGCACGTCCAAGGAGCCCTCCCTTCCTCCCGGAACAGGTGGACAGTCCAATGGCTGCAGTCTGGCAACCCCGGCCTCCTCCTCTTCCCTGGAACTCACCAGGACCGTGGGAAACGCCTCTCTTCTCAGGAACTGGGAGCTTCGGTTACATCTGGTCCTGGTACCTAAAACTGCGCAGCACTTGTTCTGTCTTAAACATCTGGGCAGTAGGAAAAGATCTACATGGATTTCTGTAGAGATACACAACTGTGCAAATTGTCCAACAAGCACATCATGAGTTATCAGGAAAATGCCAATCAAAACTAGATAGCATCAAGGCTGGCGTTCATCCTAAGTAACTAGTAGAAAGAATGTGGAGACACAAACCTGGGGTTCTTGCAGGCAAACAGTGGCGGAGCAGCTGATACATAGGCAGTTTTTCAAACAGGTATATGTTTAGTTACCAGGTGACCTAGGGTTGGACTTTTAGGTGTATATCTGTCGCAGCTTCCTCGACCAGCAAGGAAAACGCAACACCGAGCTCTTGTTCAAGCTGTTGACTCAGGCCGTTAACAAGTGTCTTCTCTCCCTGGAGGAGTTCCGTCCCAACCTTATATAGGTCCTGCTTCACCAACCTGCTTACGCCACGTGAGGCTATCGAATTGGTACACCTTTGCCTGAGCAAGCCATGTCATGATACCAAGCCAAATATGGAGCTGTTTATCACAGAGAGCACTCACTGTCGGGAGGGTGGAAGGTGGAAGCCAGCGCCATTTTGGGGTGCGGCTGTACACAGCTCTCTACACATATCCAAAGCTAGAGTTTAGCGAGGAAGAGGAGGAGGAGGAGGAGGAGTAGCTGCGGGTTGTGCCTGTCAAAAGTGAAGCGTTTGCCTAAAAAACAAACAAGAGTCAAACAGATATGTATACACCAATGTTCATGGTAACATTTACATTTTCTCTTTAGAGTTTGAAGGATTTATTGTATGTGTGTGTTTTGTCTGCATGTATGCACCTGCACCATATGTTGGTGCTGGGAACTGATCCCCAGTCCTCTAGAAGAGCAGCAAGTGCTCTTAACCCCTGAAGCATCTCTCCAATCCCCATGGTAGCATTTGAAAGAGTCAAACAGGGGCTGGAGGGATGGCTCAGAGGTTAGGAGCACTGGTTGTTCTTCCAGAGGACGTGAGTTCAATTCCCAGCAACCACATGGTGGTTTACAACCATCTGTAATAAAATCTGGTGCTCCCTTCTGGCCTACAGGGATGCAGGCAGAACACTGTATGCATAATAAATAAATATTTAAAAAAAAAAAGAGTCAAACAGATAACCCTTAAATAACCTGATGGTCTATCACTTCATACACAAATAAGGAAAAAATAGTAATTCTGTACAGTATTTTGTTGGGCTTTGGACCCTGCACACAAGGGAAAGTAAGTGTTTTCTGACTAAGCTCCCTCACCTACCCACAGTGGGTGCCATGGCAACTGGAAGGAGTAAACACACTTCTGTGATGTACTGCAGGATGCTGATGAACTGTGAAAACACACCACCACAGGCAAATGAAGCCAGACCAAAACCATACCAACTAACCAGACAAACCACTCACTACTGTGCAAGTTATTTTGTTTTTTGTTTGTTTGTTTGTTTGTTTGTTTTTGTTTTTTTTTTAGACAAGATTTCCCTGTGTAGCTTTGTGCCTTTCCTGGAACTCACTTTGTAGCCCAGGCTGGCCTCGAACTCACAGAGATCCGCTTGCCTCTGCCTACCAAATGCTGGGATTAAAGGCGTATACCACCAGCGCCCAGCACAAGTTATTTTGTATGAAACTCCCAGATAAGCAAATCTGTTAGTGCTTGCCAAGGTCTAAGGAAAGGGGGAACTGTAATTCCTAATAGTTTTGGAGTATTTTTCTGGGGTGTGAGTAATCATCACACACTTTTATCCTATTTTACTTTTTGAGACACGGTCCCATTATGCAGCCTCTGCTCGCCTGGAACTCAACTATATAGACCAGACTGGCTTTGTATTCACAGAGATTTGCCTGTCTCTCTCTTGAGTGCTGGGATTAAAGGCGTGTGCCTCCATGCCCACACACTTCTGAATATGGTAGACTCATGGAATCATGCACTTTTTAATAGCTGGAGTATAAGGTAGGTTATGAATTGCTTCTCAGTAATGGCATTTATTGTAAAAACTCTGGACCCCGGGGGTGGGGGGGGCTGTAGAGATGGGTTCAGTGGTTAAAGAGCCTGTGTGCTCTTGCAGAGGACCCGAGTTTGGTTCCTAGCACTTTTTGGTGGCTCACGACCAACTGTAACTCCAGTGCCAGTGGATCCTTCAAGTTCTCCTGGCCCTCACAGGCGCTTCACAGACAGAGTGCACAGACACACATGGCGGCAAAACACCCACACACAAATAAAATATAAATAAAGACCTATTTTTATAAGTCTGGAGTTTAGTAGAAGCATCAGTCTAGCTACCGACTCCCAGGGGCCCTAGTGTTCTGGTATCGCGCGCCTTGGAGCTGCTCTCCACACACGGTTCCTTACAACCAACCTCCTCAGGCCTCTCTTAGGTTGTGATTGGAACACTGTGGCTT